AAAAAAAAAAAAAAAAAAAAAAAAGAATAAAACAAAGCAGAAGAGAGGCCATGCCGGATAAGGGCAGAGGACAAGCAACACAGCAGGCCTGAGGGAGAGGAAAGCAGTGGAACTGAGAATTGGTTCTTTAGCAGAGAAATGGGAGAAGACACAAAGTACTAATGCAAAAGGGGACTCCATCCAGAGCCTACATTAAAAATCAGGAAGAAGGTATTGTAATTATTGTCATAAGTTTATGCTGATACATGTTAAAATTTAGATAAAATGGACAAATTAGGAAATACTAATGAAAACTAATACAAGAGGAAATAAAAATCAGACTAGTCCTATGCGGTAAAGAAATAGAATCTTTAAAAACTCTTTTGTAGCTGGTCTTGGTAGGGCACACATGTAATCCCAGCTGCTCTGAAAGCTGAGGCAGGAGGATCTCAAGTTCCAGCTCAGCCTGCTGGGCAATGTGATGAGACCCTGTCTAGACTAAAAGTAAACACTGTTCTTAGCTTGAGGACTCTGTGACTTTTGGTCTTAGTTGAGTGCCCCCTGAAACAGTATTCAAGGAAAAGAATATTACAAAATTATCCTTCTAAAAGTATTCATAAATAATGAATGTATAAGTAAGAAAACAATGGAGATTGTTGGAAACTTAAACTATGAGGGGAGAAGAGAAAGCTCAAAGGTACAGTGAGAGAATAAAGCCCAGCAAGTGCAGAGCGGAGCAGGAAGGCCAGAGAGGCACACAGGGTACTTGAGGGACATGATGTGGCGTCTACCCTGCCGTGTGCCTCTCTGATGCTGACATTATTCTCAGAACTCACAGCATCAAAAGGACTCTCCCCCAAGATCCCTGAACTGACATGAGGTTGAGGGCTAGAGGCCTCGTAGGAATATGCACTCCTGGAACCACAGCCCATAGATGTGTGATGACCACTGCCCGAGCCTCCAGACATCAGTAGAAAAGCAAGAGTGAAACAGGAAGAGGGGAAGAAAAGACAGCTGAACGAGCAGTCAGGAGGCCACGTCCAGTAGCAGCTTTCAGACGGGGATCTGAGGAGCCCAGGCAGTGCGGAAGCTTGCGGGGTCATCCCCCACCTGGAACTTTTTTTTTTTTTTTTTTTTTTGTGGAACCAGGGATTAAACTCAGGCCCTTGCACTTACCAGGCAAGCACTTATTCTACTGAGCCATCTCCCTGGCCCCTCATACCTGGAACTTGACCCAGAGAACGCCACAGTAACTTCCAGAGCAGGATGAGTGTGAGACACGACCCAGAGAGGAGCCACCTGAGCCAGAGTCTGCAGGCCGAGGAACTGCCCCCAGAACTGCTGGCGTCCACCTGCTCATTCACCAGGAGAGGAGGGTGGGCTGTGTTCCAGCATGTGGGTGCCAGCACCCTGCCATGGCCTGGGGATGCTGGAGGACTGCATGCAAACAGTAGGAGGAATGGGCCCTGAAAGGAGAGGAGGAGCCCAGCTGGAGAAGAGAAAGGGTTTGCCGTGGCCATGCCCAAGGCCAGGGGCCACAGCAGTGCTAGGCTTGGTTTCGTCAGGGGAGCACACCACTTCCCAAGGACTTAAACTTTTTTCTGTAATAAGAAAACTCTCCCAGCCAGGTGTGTGGTGCAGGCCTGTAAACCCAGAATTCTGGGAAGCTGAAGCAGGAGGGTCAGGAGTTACAGCCTAGCCTGGTCAACTTAGCAAGACCCTGTTTCAAAAAAAAAAAAAAAAAAAAAAAACACGAAAAAGTTGGAAATATGGCTCAGTGTGAAAGTCCTGGGTTCAGTCGTCAGTACTGCAAAGAACAAGAAACAGACCTTATTTACCCTGAGCTTACAGTTGAAAGTCAGCCCTTCTTCAGACCTGAATGATTGCGTTCTGCCTCTCACATGTATCTCCAGCACCCCTTGATTTCTTTTATGTGGTGTGAGTTAGGATCTGATTTCATTCCTCCCAACTTTCCAGTAGTTCTGATCTGGACTTGGAGCCATGTGGGGTGGTTCCTGGCTGGCACTGAAGTGTTGACTGTGGTGCTATCCTCTTGAGTGCCCAGTGCTGCCCTGTGCAGCCCTGTGGTGGCATGCAAATCCTGGGCTCTGTGTTCCTGGGGAGCCCTGCCCTGTGCAGTGACCCTCCCTCTGATTGGGGCGGTGCTGCACACCTAGAGGCCTGACCCTGAGCTCCTCCTTGTTCCCAGATGAGCTGGGCCACCCTGCGGGCCACATTCCCTGCCCTGAGCCCAGCACAGCTGCATCGGCTGCTGACCCAGTACCAGCTGGCCTCAGCCATGGGCCCCATGAGCGCGTGGGAGCCCGGAGCCCAGGACTGTCCAGATGCCTTCCAGTCAGGTGAGGCAGCCAGAGGCAGGGGTTGGGGCTGTTGTTCTGAGGGTGAGGACAGCCAACTGCTGCTGGTACCTGCCTCTCTAGGTTGGTAGTGTGGCCCTCCAGCACCTGGGGCCTGCCCTGCCCCATGAGTTGGTGCCCCAGCTCCCACTGTAGCTTGGGTCTGAGGTCCCCCTTCCCCTCATGGAGCCTTGGGCTGGGGGGTCTGCACAGTTGCATGCAGGCACATATACGTATTTATTTACAAATTATACACCTCCAAGAGCAGCATGCATATTTCAGTATGTAAACATAGCAAAGGGGTTGGGAAATGCTCCTCCCATTCATTGGTTTGCATCTGAGGCCTGCACACATCCTGTTCCACACTGGGAGCTCATTGGAGATGTCCCTTTCAGGGTCCCCTGCCACCTGAGCAATGCCGTGGTGCGGTAGTAGACAGCTCACACGTCACACAGCCTTGCAATCCTGGCCACGTGTGTAGATAGGGGCTCACTCTGGTGAGCTGTGCACAGCAGCTCCATGAGAGGGGCCAAGAGTCCCCACAGCAAAGGCCTACTCCCCATCCTGGAGCACTTGGACACCTACTACTAGGTGGTCATTAAGGATGGAGAAAGGATGAGAGTGGGTTGGGGTTGGTCACCCTGGCAGGGTACCATCCCCCCTGGTCAGGGTAGGTCAGGCCTGGAGCTCAGCCTGTTGTCCAGGTCCCATATACCAGGTGAGGGGCTGGGTGAGGAGCGGGCCAGTCATGTACCCTCACTTGTGCCACTGCAGAGCACATCCTGGAGTCCTATGAAAAGCCCCCACCCATCATCCTGCCAAGTGAGGGCTTCCAGGTGGACCTGGAGACTGACTGCCCAGATGACAGTGTCTACCAGCACCTACTCTACATCCGACACTTCCTGTGGAGTTTGTGTGGCCCAGCCAGTCCTGGCCGTGGGCCCACCCAGCTGGCCAGTCTTGAGGTAGAGCACAGGAGGCTGGGGGAGGGACCTGTGTCCCATGGCTGTCATGTGGTATTAGGGTGGACACAGGTGCAGGGCTCTGCTGGGCCCTGGAGACACAGCCAGTATGAGTGACCTCAGCCCAGCACTGCAGATGGGGACACTCTCTGGGTTCTCTGATACTTTTCATGGTGCAGACTAGCAAATGTCCCATGGCTGGTGGCCCTGGGACCATCTCTTCCTGATGGGCACCATGACCACCTGGCCTGCCTCTCCTCAAAGCCTGACCCTTTGCTTTTCTCTCCCCAGGGCCTGTATCACACCATCCCTGAGGGGCACCTGGAGGGTCAGGGCTGCTCCCTGGCTGCCAGGGACCCCAGCAGAGGAGTCCTTGAAGCTGCCCCTGCACATTCTGCTCCTGGTGCTGCGGCTTCTGGGGCACAGGAGCCCCCAGGGGGACGGCAGCCTGGCCGAGGGGGGCATAGGAACTCCCAGGCTGGCCTCCTGCACACTGACTCCTCCTGCCTTCTTACACCTCCAGGAACCCCACTGGGCCTCGAGCCTGGGGGCCCTAGCTGGTCTGAGCCTGGTGGCCCCTGTGGGAAAATGCTTCCTGAAGGGCAAAGGAATGGGCTAGGCCCCTTGGGTGCAGCTCTAGGTGAGGCCCAGCCCTGTGCATGCCTCACCCCTCAGATCCTGCCCTTTGCTTTGGGGTATTCCCATCTTGGGGTCCTAGGTGTTTGCAGCCTTCCCGCAGTATGGGGACAGAGGGAGAGGTAAGGGAGGTCCTGCTCCTGGGTAAAGGTGACCAAGATTTGGGCTCTGCAGCAGGTAGAGGTGGATCTCACAGATGACAGGCTTTGTCCCAAAGATGTGTGCTGGGAGGCTAGAAAAGCTTCCAAAAGGAGGTGGGGGAGGGTAACCCCATGTAGGCCTAAGCAGGTGCCATATACCTGTGTGCAAATGTGTCCCTGTGTGTCCATAGCCAGGCCCAGGGAAGAACTCAGCACTGGGTCCATGTTCAGGCTAAGCTTAGTGGGCCCCAAGTGCTGGGGTCTCCTGGAAGAGCCTGGCTGGGGTAGCTACCTGCAAGGTGTGCTCCAGACCAGCCCTGGCTTTGACCTGACCAGGGCCCTGGTGGGCATGAGTGCCTCAGAAAGAGAAGGTTGGGCCTGGGGCCGTGCTTGGGTGTGGTCAGTATGGGAATCTCAGGAAGGGCAAACTCGGAGGCATAGGGAGGGTGTGGAGGGTGGAAGAATAGGATGAGGAAGAGACAGAAGTAAAGAGACCAGAAAAGTTTGCTGGGACACACAGGAGCACAGAAAGGCCACTGTCCTGGCACAGCTGTGAAGAGGATGAGGTTCCCCTTGCAGGCATATTGTGTGTGGCCAACAGGTGGATCCGAATGAGCCCTGGCTGCTGTCCACGTTCTGCTCTTCTATGTCCTGACTTCCTGGGGTGGACACTGGTCTCCAGCCCTGCAGCCCCTCATGCCCCTGCACCCTTCCTTGCCCATTCAGGAGACACAGTGGCCCCTGTGGATGAGTCTCCCCTGGACCCCTCAAGTGGCAGCTCCAGCACTGAGGACTTCTGCTATGTCTTCTCTGTGGAGCTGGAGAGAGGCCCCTTGGGGCTGGGCATGGGCCTCATTGACGGCATGGTAAGTGGCCCATGCCTCCCCTGCCTACCCCAAAGCCATGGGCTGCCATTGCCCTTCCTGTCCAGCCTGTGTGCAGCTAGGTAGCATGGCCTGGCCGGGGGAGGAACGTGGAGGAAGCCATGGCTATGGAGGGCCCTTCTGGTCCTACAGCTGCCCTGCATGCTTGCCTGACCTTCAAGGTCTGTTCCAGCCATTGGGGGCAGTTCTGGGCCCAGTTCTTGTACAACATATGATACTCATACTGAATAAAGCCTGCACTGGGATGGGGGCCTGCTGTTGTGGGTGGGTCCTTGCTAGGGATGTCGGGTGTCAGCCTCCTCTGCTTCTCCCCAGCACACAGCCCTGGGCACCCCAGGGCTCTACATCCAGACACTGCTTCCAGGCAGTCCTGCAGCAGCTGATGGGCGGCTATCATTGGGAGACCGAATCCTAGAGGTGAACGGCACCAGCCTGATGGGTGTCAGTTACATGAGGTACCACTGCCTTGCACCCCTCCCTGGCACCCTCAGGAGGGCAGGGCTCTCCTTGTTCCATGAGGTCCCTGAGCAAGAGGGAATTTGGTTTGTCCTGGCCTTGGGACATAGAGGTCCAGGGCCTCCATATCACCCTCTCCTTTTGGTTGGTTTCAGAGCTGTGGACCTGATCCGGCACGGGGGCAAGAAGATGCAGTTTTTGGTTGCCAAGTCTGATGTGGAAACAGCCAAGAAAATCTGCTATCGCACACCCCCACCCTAACTGGAAATCCGGAAGTCCCCACCTCCAGCACCCTGGTCCGCCAGGCGCCCCCCAGGCTTCCAAGCTATCCATCATCTGGTTTCTAATTGCCCCAGTGAGTTACTGTGTGGTGGCCTCACTAGGACATGCCTGTTCATAATGTACATCTCTTGAAATATTTTATTTATATGACACACTAAGAGGTAATGTTTCTTACAGAGTTTTTATGTGTAAAGACTTTAACAGAGAAGTATAGAGTCAATAAACTATCTTTCCTATCCTCTGGGGCAGTGCTGGGCTCTGCCATTTGCAGCCTGGCATATCTGTAGCCCTGCACAGCCCTCCCTCCCTGGCAGCATGGTGGAAGCCCTGGGTAGCTCTGCCCCTCCCTGTCCAGCGGTAGGACAAAGACCACAGTGCTCCTGCAGCCAGAAAGGCAGAGCCATCAAGCAAGGCAGCTTCACCTTCTAGTTGCCTGGCTTGGCATACCATGTACCGAGAGCACAGGTCTGAAGCCCCTGGAAGGCTGGAAGGGGACTTCTGAGCTGCCGTGCTCCTGAGGACTAAGCCACCCTATGCCCAGCTGCCCCACCTTTGTCTCTAATCACTGAAGCCAGCCGCTTGGCCCTAATACCAAGCACTAAATCTGTAGCTGTCATACACCTCGTCACTGTCTCTTCATCCTGGCAGGCTACCAGGTTCCTCTGCCAACCTCATGGTGTGGGCCAAGGGGTGGGGCTATATTGGCATCACGGGAAGAGTGGGGCTGGCACACTTCTGTGCTTGGCCAGACTACAGACTGAGACATGCTGGGCACCTTGAGCAGGTTCTGCAGCTCCTTGGCCTGGGTATAGGGGACTTCTGTGTTTTCCTTGCTATGCACAGAGCAGTGTCCTAGACAGGAACAGAATTCCTGGGGACAGGGACTAGTAGGGGTCACAGCCTGTCACTCTAGAGGACACATCATGGGAAAAGGTGACAGCATGGAGGACCTAGAGCCCTGGAGCAGTATCCCAAGTGGGCCCTAGCTGCAGCCCTATCAGCTCCATGCTGCCCCTGCTGAGCACTGTGGGGGTGCAGCGCATGTGCTCTAGACCCCCTTTCAGTGCAGCATCATTGGCCTTTCACTTGGTTTGAACCAGTGGCTCCCAACCAGCTGCCTACAATGATAGCTGAAGTATATTTTTAAAAAGTCATTTAAAATGCATGGTTGGGCCTAAAAGAAAAAGAATCTTAGGAGCTGGGGAGAAGGCTCTGTGGAATAAGCACTTCCCTGGCAAGCGCAAGGGCCTGAAGTCAATCACTGGTTCCGCAAAAAAAAAAAAAAAAAAAAAAAAAAAGACTCCTTAGAGCCCAAAACTGAAATGAGGGTCTAAGATCAGAGGGGCTGCATTAAGAGTGACAGGTCGCTGGTCCCAGTCTACTCCTCTGCTTTGGGAACAGGGTGTAGAGGAAAAGTCTTAACCATCCCAAGTTAGTGCAGACTTCATTGCAGGACTTCGGTTAAATGCTGAGGGACCCCAGTACTGGAGAGCTCCTGACGGACTGGACAGTGGGCCAGGAAACAGACAAGTAACCCAGGGTATTATGTGGAGCTCATTTGTCACTTGCAAGGCCCCTTGAGTGCATGTGGGCCTAGCCCATGTAACTTGGCAAAGTTTCCAGATGAGGCAAAAGCAGGGAGACTGATTTGTATGGCAGTCAGCCAGTGTCATAGTGTGGTGCTGGGGGAAGCTGTAGGACTGAGCCTCAAAGCCAAGGCATTTATCCCCACACAGCGATGCCACAGCTGGCGTCTGCAGATTGGACGGACTGCAGTGGTGGTGAGCTCTGTGGCCATGAGCACTCCTGCCCTCCTTGGTCCCACAGATCGGCCATACCCTGGCCTCAGCAACAGCACACTTGTAGGGGACAAGCTGGGCCAGGAGCACACTGAAGCCTTTGCCAGGTATGCACATGTGATGCTTCTCTAGGTAAAGGGCTGCTAGGGAGGCTGAGGTGGGGGACTGCAAGTTTGAGGCCAGCTTGGGCACCATAGACTCCATCTCAAAAACAAAAGGGGCGGGGCCAGGGAGATGACTCAGTGGAATAAGCGCTTTCCTGGCAAGCGCAAGGGCCTGAGTTCAATCCCCAGGTCTGCCAAAAAAAAAAAAAAAAAAAAAAAAGGGCTGGGGATGTAGCTCAGTGTTGATCCTGGATTCACCTCCCAGTACCACCATCCCAATCAGCTAAAACATGAAGTATTTTAGGCAGATGAAAGATAATGAACTGAAAGAGATGGTTGAACATTTGCCAGAAAACATGAAAATAAAAGTTGAGAGATGCAAAACAAAAAGGTGTAGCTTATATTAGGTGGAGTTGTGGAAGGAGACAGGGAGAGTAGGGGAAGAGCACTACTGAAGAGAGAACAGATGGATTTGGGCTAAGAATGGATGGGGGGGGGGGCCCAGCCCTAGCTCAGTTCTTTAAGTGGCTGCTTCCACAATGCTGGCAGCCTCAGTTTGCTGTAGTTCGATCCCCACAACACTCCAGCCATGCAAAAGTGCCCTGAAGGCATTCAAGGAGCAAAACACACACACACACACACAAAAAAAAATTCCCTAAGAATGGATGGGGGGCCCAAATCCTCAGTGAAGCCAGGATCAGTCAAGTGCAGTATGCACTTAAGTGCCTTGTGGGGAGGGTACAGAATCCAGAGACAGGTGATCTGAACAGTGGCCAGGGAGCAGCAGGACTCCGGAAAAGCCGCCTCTGGATGCCAGCATCCAGAGCAGAGGCAGGACCAGCAAATAATGGCCTCGTCAGAGAGCCAGGAAAAACTCAGTCCACTCTTTCAAGGAAAGGATAAAAAAGGGTTTTTTTCAGACAAGCAACAATGAGATAATTAGTATTGAAGACAGTGAAGAGATGTGTATAAGTTATACTTCAAGGAGGAAAAATGTCTGACAGTGTTGCAGAAAACAGCCCAAACACAGGGAAGAAGGCAGGAGGCAGTTCATTACACCAGTGGGCTTTGGACTAGGATCTCTCCCAGAGTGATAGCCCCACCCAGCAGGGCTTCAGGGCTCCTAAAGGGAAAGTGGGGAGGTACAAAATGTTTGGCACATGTGATTGGAGGGTTGGATGACATCAAGAGTTTAAACAATTCAGGTTACATCACAAAGCTATCAGTTAAAATAAAAAAGCTATCAGGCTGGCAAGACAGCCCAGTGGACTAAGCATCTGCTTTGGCAAGCACAGGAACCAGGGTTCAGTCCCTAATCCCCAGTTCACACTCCATGCTGGCCCAAGGGGTAGGCTGAGTCGGTGCACGAGTCTGGGCATGGGGGCACACACCTGTAATCCCAGCACTGGGGAGACTGAAAACAGGAGGATCACTACAAGTCTGAGCTGTGTAGTGGGTCCCTATACCAAATACAGAAATTTTAAAAAAGCTATCAGTTACATGAAGCATGGACTATACAGAGGAACAAGTATCCTGTTAGATTTTAAGTTACACTGTAAGGCCCTCAGCTATACAAAGGTGGTAGGACATGTCTGCTTGGTCTTGGCAGGCATTTTGGGCAGGCTTTTATTTAAAATTTTAATTTCCACTTTCAGTGGAAAGTCTGAGATACGAGAGTATATGGTAACACAATGAGCTTTTTTTTTTCTATTGAACACATGAAAATAGGAGCGTAAATGGCTAATGTGGGTTAATAATTTTATTGTAACAAAACTGGTGTTTTCCGGTTTTCGTTGCCTGTATCTGCTGTGGGGCCTGTTGACTCCCTTTTCTGCCTCATGCCCCAGATGGTGTAGCTGTCCAGGAAGTGAACGTGCTGAATTGAGTGACAAACTGTGTTTCCCTGGGAGTGTGGGTTCATCTCCGACCCAATGTGCTGTGGCACTTCGCTTCTGTACCATGGTTATGAGGATTACTCCAAGGAAGTAGACCTCATGGATGTAAAAGTCAACTGATTTAAGTCAGCAGTTCTCACTGAAGTGTGGTCCAAGTGACCCGGCAGTTCCCAGAACCATTTTAGGAGGTTCATGAAGTTAAACCTGATTTTTTTTTTTTCTTTTTTGCCATGCCTACGTTTGCCCTAATGGTGAGTAAAAGCAGAGACCTTAGTACAGGTCAGAACAGAGGTACCAAAGTGGATGGTAGACACTGTATTACGGCCTTGCACTCTTGGTAACAAAAGAAACAAAATGTTTTCACTCCAGAAATGTCCTTGATGAAACTAAAAAAATTACAGCTTTTATTATGTATTACCTTCGGCTATCCATCATTCTTACATAGGAGGTGCACTAAATATATAAGCAGAAATAAAATCTGATGCATATTAAAGAGTATACGGTAAGCAAATAAATGTAAGGAAAAATTAAACCACTATCGAAAGCAGCAGTAATATCTAACTTGGGGGGATTTAAGTGTAAAGGCGGAGGGGCAGTTCCTGTCATTAACTGCATGTGAGCCAGAAAGCGTAACAGGGAAAATGTAAGGGTCTTGCGCTGCCTTAAGGGATACTAATGATACTGGTTAGCTTAGACTTTGTTACTAATAGGTGTGACATCTCAGGTGTAGCCATCAGAAGGCTAGAAAGAATATTCAACTTTCAAACTAAGAAAGTGGAAACATGATAGAGTAAGAAAAACCAAAACCCAAAGGCAGAAAAGGAAAAAAAACCCTCAAAGAAACAAATGGAATGTCTCTCAAGTAACTTTTAAAAATAAATAAATAAATACAGCAGCAAAAAAGAAAAAAAAAGGAAAAGTACCATTAAGTAGAAATTTACCCAAAATTCAGTAATACTATATATAAGTGGACCCTAATGTTAAAAACACAAAGGGGGAAAAAAGGGAAAAAAAAACACGAAGAGATTGCCAAGCTAGATAAAATCTAGGTACATAATATTTACCAGATAAATGTAAAATGTAAGAAGGCTTGAAAGTGGACAAAGATGTATTCAATGTACAAAATAACAGTTCAGTTCACCAGAAAGATGAAAATTCTGAACACACCTAATAACATTTTCTCAAAATACATAAAAGCCAGATGAAGACAAGGGTTGAATCCACCATGATAAAAGGAGACCTTAGCATAAATCTCTCAGTAACAGGTAAATCCCGCAGCCAGAAATCAGGACATACAAATGAACAAGAGACAGTGTTTTTCCTGGACCTCCTGAACTTCAATTCTGATTTCTCTAGCCTGGTACTAAATAATAGATGAACACTGAACATGCCGGTGCGAAGGGCTGCAAAGTTAATGCAGACCAGCTGAGATGGAGCATGTGGTGGAGATGGGGGGTGTTAACACCACACGTGGGCAAGCCTTGTGAGCAAGGGTCGCTCAAGGAAGGGTCTGCTGTGAGGAAAGCTGTGTGCTTATCTAGGGGACAGCATTTCTCCCTGAAGCAACAGGCACAGACCTTAGGCTGGGAGCACTAAGAAGGGGGGCCAGTGTGGCAGAGGCAGTTGGTGGGAGTCGGGCCAGACTAGGACCCAAGCCTCATGCAGCTGGGGGCTGCTCTGGGGACTCTGGATTTTAGTCTGGGTGAGACAGGACTATTACTTGGAAGGGTTGGAGTGAGAGTTACAAGACCAGACACAATTTTAAAAGGATGACCCTGGCACAAAATGAACCAGGACAGAAGGGACATCAGCTGGGAGGGTTATCGGTGGTACAGGAATAGACGCTAGCAGCTGGGAGCCAGTTACTGTCGGCTCTGACTGGTGGGACAGCCACATGGGTGCCACAAAGCGAGCAAGTCGGCACAGCATCTGCACAGAAAAAAAGGAAGGCCTAAAAGGCTGACTGCAGTGGGATACTATTTTTTAGTGCTAAAGGGAACACTGCATCTAGAGGGATCCCAATTTATGTGGGAGCAGGGACTCCTACAGCTCTTCAGGAGGGTGACTCAGGATTCAGAAATGGAATGGGGAAAAGAAAGGAGCACACAGCAGATGTGCGGTCACCAGGCTTCCTGTCCTGACACCAGGCAGTGGGTTCACCATGCTGTTTACCTGCTAATTAATAAAGATGAAAGCATGGTATGCATCCAAGCTGAGCATGTGAAGGGCCAGGGGTGTGGCTCAGCGTAGATCACTTGGTTTGTGAGCAGCCCTGGGCGTGAGGCCAAGCATCAGAAAAAACCTACGCTGGTCCTGGTGGTGCATGCCTGCAATCCCAGCACTTGGGGGGCGGGGGGCGGCGAAGGCAGGAGGGCTGTCTCCAGTTTGAGGCCAGCCTGAACTACACAGCGAGACCTCATCTTAAAAAAAAAAAAAAATCAAGACAACAAAAACAGCAGCCCACGCATCAAGGATCAAGATAGTTTCATATGAGAACTAAACGAACCAGAACTTCTAGAAATGAAAACTATGCTTATTGAAAATTGGCAAGTTTTACTTGTGTCTTACTCTTCTCCTTGCTGAGATAAAATTCCCAATATCCAAAGTTAAAGGTGGAAAAGTCTATATAGCTCTCGGTTCACATAGAGGTTTCAGTCCATAATCAACTGGCTCCCAGGCAGGGTGGCTTCACAGAGGACAGCAATTCATGGCAGCAGCAGATGGCAAAAGCAACGAGGGTAACAGCCTCTTCCAGACTGCTGGGATTAGGGCAGTGCCAATCCAAGCAGTGAACTGACCTAGCAATCCCTCATCCTTACTGCCAGCATGGAACCATGAATGACACATGAACTCTAGTCAGCTACTCCCTGAAAAGCCCCATCTAAATGGCATGAGACTTTGGGGGGACATCTAGACACAAACTAATGACCAGGTTACAATTCACATACCATCTGCCAAGTTAAACTGAACAGCTCACTGGTTGTTAGCATAGAGTTGTGCAACCTTCAGTACAGTCTAGACACTGAAATTTTAGGAATCAACGAAAGATTAAATGGGTAATTAGATATGGAGATAGGATTAATCAGCTGGATAAAAGTCTGAATAATTTAGCCAGAATTAAACCCAGAGATTTTTTTAAAAGTTGGAGACATAAGTTTGAAGATTTCATATAGTATTTTTAAAAATGTTATTTAAAAACTCACCACTTAACAGACCAGAGACCCAACCTTTAACATCCCAACTTTGAGAACTCAAATTTTATCACTCCCAGAAGACTTCTGGTTCTTTTCCTTAAAATTATTTTATTCATTTCCTACCAGATTCCCAACTGGACACATCCTTTAAAATGAAAGTGGTGTTTGCTGTCCAAGCTAAAGCCTGTGCTGGCCAGGGTGGGCTCCACGCTGTGGAAAGCCGTGGTTTCTATTTTGAGCCAACATTTTTCTCTGTTTCAGCAAGGACCACGTGGGGTTGCATGTTGTGAGCCGTGTGTGGGCATGAAGAGCAGATCCCGGCACAGGTTGGTGCCACCCACCATGGCTTTTTGACCATCAGGGCAAATCTCAAGGGTAAGCTGTGATACTCAAAAAACACTAAGCACCATTTCTGTGTGGTGCTCAGAGTCCAGCATTTGCATGTACCAGCTAAGACACTGCTGCTGAAAGATGAACATGGAGCAGTGCATGCAGCCCGGTCCATCAACACCTGTGAGCCGAAAGCCCAGGGTGGGTGCGCCTCCAGCCAGGTGAGGGCAGGAGACTGAGCCCCACTTGGCAGAGCCGAGTGACCTGGGACAGGATGAGGCCACTGCCTGCAGCCCGCCTGCCAGGGCCTGGCCCTGTTCTTCCCCACCTCCACACTGAGATAAAGGAGGAAGTGAAGTACATGCAGTTGTAACTCTAGAGATTCCCTCTGCCTTTTCCTGCCCAATGACAAGTTACTTCTGCATCATCAGGAACACTGGCTTCTCAGCCATTCTGGAGACTGGGGGAGGACAGAGTTCAACCTGGGCAATTCTGTTGAGACTGTCTCAAAATAAGCATTACTGTAATCCCAGCACTCTGGGAGGCTGAAGCAGACCAAAACTTCTAGCCCAGTCAAGTGATTTGTGAAGATCATCTCAAAAATGGGCTGTGGCTGCAACTCAGTAGTAGAGTGCCTCCCCCTATCAGTGAAGGAGTGGGAAGGACAGACCATCCCTAGAGCCGCTGTGCACTGGAGTCCCTCAGCTCTCTTCCCTGATGTAGGCAGAGAGGAGTCTTGACTCTGCACAAGAATTGTTTATTTTTACTATGTCTCTTCCTGCTCCAGAACTATCCAGAAACAAGGAAGAGCAGGACACAGATCAACATCTACCCAGCCCAAGAAAAGGCCGGGGGCTTTTCTTGCCATCAGCTGCTCCATGGTGCAGCTCAGCACAGCCATGGGGCAGGGTTACAAGACAAAGCCCAAAAAGCTGCAGAGGACAGGCTGAGGCATCTCTAGGGGCCAAACCCTCTCTCCTCTCCCAGGGTGGTCTCCTGCTCCTGAATTCTCTGCTCATCAAAGCCAGTGGCTTGGACCCACTATCAAGCTCGAGGCCCCAGATCCTTCACTGGATGGGATCAACCTGGTCAGTGTCCAGTAGGTCACAGTTCTGTCACCCTGGCAAGAGGCCAGCCTCCCTTTCCACCAGCCGGGTAACTGTGCGCAGGGCCAGGGGCAGGGCTGTGTTGGTGTCACAGTGGTAGCGGGGTTGGCACACCTCTGTGCTTGGCGAAAGCACAAACTGGGCCACGCTGGGCATCTTAAGCAGGTTCCGCAGCTCTGTGGCCCGTGTGCGGATGGCTTCCATGTCTTCCTCACTGTGCACAGAGCTCGTGGCTGGGCTCTGGCCTAGGGTCCTCATCTTTGACAGGAACAGAGAGACCCTAGGGATGGGGTTGGGGGGGAGGGAGATCCAGCCCATCAGTTCACAGTACTCCTCATGCAGAAAGGGGTTTATGTGATGGGGCCCAGCCCCTCAAAGCACCCACCTAGCCTGGCTTCAGCTCAGTACCCAGTGCCCACTGGCGAGCCTGCTCCCCCGGCCCATGCTGCTGTGTCTGTGCTGCTAAGGCCAATTCATGACTTGGGCTCAGGGAAGACCTCAGAAACTTCCCCATGAAAAGTGGGGTTCCCTTCCCAGTGCCCTGACTGGGTACCTGGGGATGAGGTCCTGGCTCCGAGAGGCCAGCTTGGTCAGTGTGGTCATGAGCACTGTGATAATCTGGGGTGGACACCGGGGCATGGTGGCCGAGGGGCGGGACTGGGTGACCTCAAACAGCAGGGCCTCCAGGGCCTCAAAGAACTTGTTGATCAGCTCCACGGTGCATCGTCTGTCGCAGGCCACTGACAGGTACTCGCCGATGGCCCACACCTAGTTCAGAGAGAGGCTCAGTGTGCCCAGGCCCTGCCTAGTGGGAGACGGGAGGGGCTGCTGAGGCTTACCACACAGGTGAACATGTCCGCTCTGTTCTCGATGCTGCTCACACTGCCCACTAGCTCCAGGAGCTCCCTCGCCAGCTCCAGCACCAGGGATGGCTTCTGCTTACACAGGACCAGGAACCAGGAGCTCAGCACCCTGCCAAGAGAGAAGCTCTCTGAACACCATCAGTGAGACTGAGGTCTGGGCCAAAAGCCTAAGCAGGGTGCTGGCTGACACCCACCCTGATGGTCCTAGACTGGAAAGGCTGCTGGCTCCCTGGGGATGGGGCTGATCTGTGCCATCGTCAGTCCCAGGTTGAGAACAGGGTGAGGATGAGCCTGTACAGATCAGGCTTTTAGTATAGAATGGGACAAGTGTGTAGAAGGGGGCTGAGGCAGGCCTGAGGATGAGGGTGCATTCTAGACTGAGGAGAGGGCTGAGACTGGGTACCTGGCTGACTTGGGAGTGGGAGGAGGGAGACTGCTGGGGGCAGCCAGGAGCGGGACACTGCTGAAGGTCCTGGCCTGTGCTGGGCACTGGCGAACCTGGTCAGCTACATGTGGTAAGGATGCACCTGTGCACGCAGGCCTCATACTGTGGGACCTGGTAGAGTGTGTTGCTTCTCTCCAGAACCAGCAGTGCCAGCTGGTTGGTTAGGGCCTCGTCAGCAACCTGTGGACAAGGGCAGGAGACAGACTTTCAGTCCACCTAACCCCAAATGTCACTATCTTCTGCAGCCCTTGAGGACATGCAGCCAATACAGGGTGAGAGAGTGGCTGAGTGGCTACAAAGCTCCTTATCCAACACCTTGTTCATTCCCTCTGGCGCTTGGGATTAGGAAGCCCCACTTCTGTCCTATGGCTCCCTTTGTGGCTCTTCAAGCTCAGGGCAGTGTCACTGGGCCAAAGGTGCTTCTGGCCCCATGGAGGCTGAGCTGTGGCCTCATGGGGGCATGTGAAGCTCCCCAGGTGCAGTCAGGCAGGGACCACAGGGCCAGGAAAATGGAGCACCCAGGACACATTCCTGTGGCACTAGCTTTTGTCCTGTCTTGAGGATAAGGCCATGGTTTGTGGCCCTTTCCTGTTTCCTGAGCCTCAGGCAGCCATGAACAGAGTATGCAGCAGGCCTGGCCTTCTACAGAGGTCAAGGGCAGTGCCATGCTCTCTGCTTTGGGCCAGGATCCCCAGCGGTGTGAGGCCCTCAGGCACAAGGCCTGGCCAGCCAGCTCACCTGGGTTGCAGCAGAGAAGAAGGCCTGGAGCAGGGTCGGCACTGCCTGGGCACACTGGGCCACCCGGGCACAGCTGGCCATGGGCTGCAGCAGCTGGTAAAGTGGGATCAGCCTAGGGACACACAGAGCCACTGAGAGTCCTACTTACCCTCCCTGGTTCCTCAGCCACCAGGAGGAGATAGCACCGTGGCTATCAGCATTCCCCTCACCAGTACAGCTCACTTGCACTGGGGAACACATGCTCCCAAGGGGCTCCCTGGAACCCCAGGGACAGGCAGGTGTGGGCTACATGCTGAGTGCAGGGTCACATGCCATGCCCACACTCCCATTTCCTGGTGTCATTTCTTCCTCTGTAAAGCTCTACACAGGACCTGAGGCCTGTGGGGGGGTAGAGGCACTGCTCATGCCCTCTTCATCCTCCAGGCCCAACAACGTGACCACAGCTTCCTCCCAGGCCTGGGCTGCGTACAGTTCTGCACACCCAGGCCTCAGAATAGGATGAGTGGATGAGTGGCAAGCCCCACACTGGTGATAGCTGTCACCCCTGTGATTCCAGCCCCAGGGCCCGAACCTCTCAGTGGAGCCGCTAGCCTTGGTGCGCAGCAGGTGCTGGAAGAAAGGCTGGAACTGCGGGTCCCGGAAGGCCTCCAGGCAGCCAGGGGTCCTAAGCGAGGTGTCCCAGAGCGGCCTCTCAGATGGCATCTGTGAAGACCTGGGCGTGGGACAAAAGCCCAAGCCCTACTGGAACACAGCTTCTGGCATCCAACCCGAAGGCATCCACTGCTCAGGAAGATGTCACTGCAACATCATAGTGCTTGGGGGCCAGAGGACCTTGCAGCAGGGCCTGTGAGAGCTGCAGGGTTCAGGGGATGCCCTTGGGGGACAGCGCTCGACATGGGCTCTGCTGGGGGCAACTCTGCGGCCCCATGGCGGGTGCTGGGGGAGGCGAGCACCAACCTGAGCTGCAGGTCCAGGGCAGCTGTCAGGCAGGGCAGGTCCAGCAGGGAGTGCAGCATCTCCACGGCTGTGCTAGCATCCACTAGAGCAGGGAGCAGCGCCACGAACTCGGCAGTGAGGGGCGGGCTGTTCCAGGCCAGGAACTGCAGAGACACAGCAGCAGCTCAGAGCCCACCAACGCAGGAGTCAGCCCTATCTGTGCTGCCTCTCTCCTGTTTCCTGTGGCTGCAGTGTCCAACACTGCCTCTCCCAGTTTTTCCTTTTTTAATGTATTTAGTACAGGGCCTACAGGGTCTCACTACACAGATTGGAGTTGTAGTGATTCTCTTGTGTGCAGCCTCCCAAGTGTTGGGATTATAGGCTTGACACCAGGCCCAGTCTCAGCTGCTGTTTCAGCAAGCTCTGGGGGCAGGGCTGGCATGACATGCCAGGGATTAAACCCCGGTCCCTGTATCTGTCTAAGTAGGTACTTTAGTCTGCTGTGCTATCTGGCCAGCCTTGTTTTTCTTTTTCTTTTTAAAAATTATTTGTTTGTTACAGGATCTCGCTATGCAGTTCAGACTCATGGTGATCCTTGTCTCAGCCTCCCCAGTGCTGGGATTACAGGGATGTGCCACCATGCCCAGTTTCAGGGCCAGCACAGCATGTGGTGCTAGGAGTCAAACTCTGGTCCTTGTGCTTGCCACATAGGCACTTACACCACTGAGCTATCTCTCAGCCTCCATTATTTTTCAATTATTTTAGTTTCACAAAATTTGGGCCACTCTGGCATCCACAAACTGATCATTTCCTGCTTACTTTTTTTTTTCCTAGAAAAAAACAAACAACTATGAAACATGATCAAAAATAAGGTGGATGCTAAATTATTTTTAAATTCATAGGGCCAGAGAGATAGCTCAGTAGAATAAGCACTTGCCAGGCAAGCACAAGGTCCTGAGCTCAATCCCCAGTACCACCAAAACAAATAAATAAACACATACATACATACACACATACATACATTACAATAAAAGAAGCAGTACATTTAATCCTTTAAAATCTTCTCCCTCACTTCAAACCCACTGAACCCATCATTCTTGCCACTCTGGCAAGCATCCCAGGACTCCTCTCTTTTGTCTTTAGTGGCACTGTTGTGGCTGCTTTGCTGTCCTAAATTTATGCAGCATGAACTCTGCACGATCGTTTTGCCTGGGGAAGAGCTGGAAGATGGCTGGTGCTGACCTGGTGGCTAACGTGGGTAGGGCTCACTGGGATTTTTTCACAGCCTGCCTTTCCTTTGGATGGCACTCAGCAGTGGCTTTCACTGCATATCTGATCCCCTGCTACAAAGACGCTCAGGAAAGAGAGCTTCTAGAACTGCCCCTGAGGCAAAAGAACAATGGGGAAGCGTGTTTGGAGCCAGAGGAAGGACTGAGGAGGGTACGTGGCAACGTGTCTTTCAGTAAGTTTTCCCCCCATTTAAGCATCTGTATATTTCAGTCACCCTTTATAGATCTCTAAGTAGGTTTAAGAGGCCTCGTGTGAAAAAAACATGAGACTGGTACTCACACTGAATGTGTCAAGCCAGCTCTCCCCCAGGCAACCAACCCACACAAACTTTGCAAGGACAAGCCCAAGGCTGGGCAGAGTTCCTCCCACCCCTGCCCAAGCCCAAGCCCCGGGAACAACCACTCAGACCTTGAAGAGGTTGGGAAAGCTCAGCTTCAGAAGGCCAAGGAGATGGGGGTCAAACAGGGCAAGGTTGTCCCGGCAGAAGCGTGCAAGCTCGAAGGCCAGCATGGGGCTGTGGAAGCGCTCGAGAGGGAGCCTGCTGAACAGATGCTGGTAGATGGCCTCAGCGTCCACTGCGGCTGCTGCCCCTGAAAGCCAGGGATGGGCCATTAGGGCGTAGGCAGGAAACTTTGCTTACAAGTTTTTTTTAAAGGGGCTGGTGAGATAGCTCAGCAGACTAAGTACCTACTTAGGCAAGTTCAGGGACAGGGGTTTGATCCCTGGCACATGCCGTGCTGGTCCCAACCTGGGTGCACTAAGCTAGCCACTAAGACCAGGCATGGTACAGCATGCCTGTAATACCAGTGCTGGGAAGGCTGAAAATAGGAGGATCACTATGAGTCTGAGCTGTGTAGTGAGACCCTGTACCAAATACACTAAAAAAAAAAAATTTTTTTTTTTAGTACTGGGGATTTAACCCAGGTCCTTACACTGAGTTATATCCTAGCCCTTTACCTGTTTTATTTTGAGACACAGTCTCCCTAAGTCACTAACTTGCCTAGGCTGGTCTTTTTTTTTTTAATCTTTTTTATTTGATACAGGGTCTCACTATGAAGCCTAGACTCATAGTGATCCTCCTGTCTCAGCCTCCCCAGTGTTGGGAATACAGGTGTGTACCACTATGCCCAGTTTCAGTGGCTGTGGGGTTCTGGGGCTGGCATGGCATGCGGTACTGGGGATTGAACCCAGCCGGGTCCTTGTGCTTGCTAGAGCTATCTCCCCAGCCCCACCTAGGCTGCTCGTGAACTTGAGATCCTCCTGCTTCAGCCTCCCAGAGTGTCTGGAATGTAGCACCATGCCCATGCAGCATGACAGGTCCCTGCTGCTGGTAAAGCTGCACTCCCCAGTGTCTTCACTAAGTCCCCATAGTGATCTCTGCCTCTAGGACACCAAAGACCCCTAGAAATGTTCCAGACAGGAAGATAAATGAGTTGAACTCAGCCACAGACCAGGTGCCCTGAGAAACATACTTAGAAAGGTGCTGCCTCCTTCACTTTTGGGTTTCATGGGTCAAAGATGCAGCAAGGAACATCCTCAGCCTGATATAAAGTTGGCCACATTTTGTCAACAACTGCCTTGAGCTAACAGCACTGCGAGAAATGACCCCCAATTGTGGCAGTGAGCACCTGCTGACTGGACCCCCATGCACCAGGCTCACCGTGGTTGAGGAAGAACTGGGCGAGAGGCAGCAGCGCCCGCTCACTGCCTGGGTCTGTGCCCAGCTGCCCGTGCAAGGCCTTGAGGCAGGAGAGGCTACGGTACAGGAAAGAGGGGTCCTGCCGGCACACCGTGTCCAATACCCGCACAGCTTCCACCAGGCACTGTGGGAATGAGGCCAGCGTCAGAGGGGCTGCACACTGCCCTGTCCATGCCACCCCTGCCCTGGCCACTTACTGCTTTCTGCAGGTCAGAGTCCCCTTTCCTCAGGGCTCCTGGGGGGAGGAAGAAGTCAGCCTTCACTTTCTGTCCAGCCCTTGAACAGCCCCATGAGAAGGTAGGCTGTTCTAGAAATGAGGCAGGAACAGGAAGAGGCCGGGTGGGAGAAGGCATGAGGTGGGACCAGGAGTGCACAGGATGTGGCAGGACACAGTGGGTCCTGTGAGTAGGGGTACAGGTTGGGCCTACTGTTGGGGTGGTTCTGGGAACTGAGGCGTCCAGCTTGAACAAGCGACTAGGAATTCTTCCCCCCTCAAAGCAGGCGCTAAGCAAGGTCTGCTACTCAGGTCTCGTCCACCTTGTGGGACAGATCTGGGATGCAACACAGATGCCAGCTTGGGAACTTACGCCGGTTACTCTGTTCAATGAGGCGCTGGCAGTATTCAAATGCCACCTTCCTCAGACGTTCCTGTGGGAGCAGCTGGCGGCCAGCAGAGGCAGCAGAAAGCACAGAGAGAGTGGAGCCCTCCAGCTCAGACCTGTCCTCTGGAGGAGAAATGGGCTCAGCAGGGCCACATGTGACCCTATAGCCAGTCATCCACAGCCACCCCATGGAAGACAGAAAGGGAACTGGATCTGCTGTAGCCAGGCTCCCAGACAGCACAGCACCCTGGGGCTTGCCCACTGCAACTGGTAGCCTCCACTCCCCTGTGGACCTAGTTCCCCCAGAATTTCATAGGGTCTCGGCTGCCAGTGGCTTTTTCTGTAAACCAAGAGTTTACAGATGAGGTGGCACTCAGTGAGGCTGTCCCAAACAGCTACAGACATCTGCCTCAATGCCTGTCTGTGCCTTCCATAGGAGGCCCGAGCATGTCGCGTCTGAAGAGGCCTCCGTCTGCAAGGCCAGCAGTGCAGGGTGAGGGGCTCAGCTTGGTCCCGGGTGGCAGGCCTTTGTTGCCAGCCTCCTTGGGCCACCACCCATCTGTGTCAGCCCCTGGTGACCTGTACTCTATCCTGGGCATACCTGCCTCGCATCCTGTGACCTAACCCACCTGCATCTGGGGTGCCTGCGCTCTCAGGGCTGCTGAGGAGCAGCCACGTCTGTAGCATGGAGAAGGCCTGCACATTCAGCCACTGGTCCTCTGTGAAGTGCTGGCCCATGGACAGCACCGTGAAGAAGTCCGAGGCTACTGCTCCATCTACCTCAGTGATGGGGCCTGGCTGCAGGAGGTGAGAGAGATGGGGCTGCAGAATCTTGGGGCCAAGACCAACAGGTTCACCAGCTACTCAGGCAGGTGGAAGGTCCCAGTCCAGGGGGGTGGGAGCCTACAGGCCACTTCCATCCCCTTCCAGACCAAGAAGGCCAGAACCATCCCATGGAGAACCCAGATTATCGACCCCAGATCAGATGTCAGGTGCATGCCCTGCATCCACATAGCCCCTGAGACACACAGCAATAAGGGACCCTGCTGGCACCAGATGGAAGGCTGGGAGGTCTCAATGGCAATTTGCTGGGTGAGTCATAGGACTGCCCAGGGGAGAGAGGTTTGGGATTTCTGTTCATGAGGTATGGAAGCAGGGTGACTCACCTGCCGAGCCCTAGGTGTAGAGAAGAAGCCCCCTGAGTGCGAGGCTCCTTGCTGGACACGGGCATAGCGCAGCCAGTCCACTAGTCGCTTGCTGAGCAGGCTGGCTTGGTCTGCCGAGGTGAGGGAAGGCAGGGTTTCCCTTAAGGAAAACAGTTAATCCCCATAGAGTCCCAAGCCCCAGGAAGTAAACTGAGTCTTGCAGAATCCCACATCCAAAATCTTCCCTGCATCCAACCTGACCAGGAGACCACCCACCCCTTCCCAAGGACACTGGCATGAAAGAGCCTGGAGCACAGATTCCACATGAGGGGCCCTAGTACCTTCCTGGAAGGTCCCTGGAGCAAGGCCCACGACCTTGGACAAGACAGGCAAGAGGGGCCTGAGACTGGGCCCCTCAGGCTGCCGGCTCTCCAGGATGGTAAAGATGCGCTGGCCCACATTTCTGACCTCCTCTCTTCTGTCACCCTTCAAACACAAGGCAAGTGCCAGGGTATTGACTCAGACCATCTACCACAGTGGCACATATGCCTTCCCTGCTTCACAAGTATGCAAGAAGTTCCCTGAAGAATAGTCACCCTGACACCACCGTTAGTGAAAGACACCTTTGTGGTGTCCAGGTTGGAAAGTTTCAGGTCCCAACACCCTTGGCAATGACCAGGCCCATGACGAGGATTCTGGGCTGGGCTTAGCTCAGATCTGCTTGTCTCTCTTCTTCCTGGGCACTGCCATTCTCGGGCACCTGCTAACAGTGGCCACACTGGGCATGAACGGTCTATGATCATTCGATGTCCTCTAGTTGGTCCAGGGGTCAGAGCCTGGCGGCTCTCCACACTGATCTTTGGCTATGTTCCTGAAGTCGAGCAGGTGAAATGGAACACTACTGACAGCTAAGATGTCAGACTCACACATGTACATGGCTCCCTAGCAGCACAAGGGAGCCACGCGCCGCACGTGTGAGGTCACTGCTGCTATCTGGCTGCTCTCAATACTGTTTTCTACTCAGGGAAAAATGTTTCTTGAGGGAAAAGGGCTGGTTCCAGACTAGAAGAAGAAATGAAAGAGAAACTGGGTCAGCTTCTTCTGGTTAAGGAGCTGGGTCACCTTGCACCAGCAGTGAGGCAGTGGCCACGGCACTGCCAGGTCACTTAGGGAGCTGGCTGTGTGTGGAAGCTGTGGGGCTCAGGGCGTCTGGCATGGAAGACAGTTAGCGTCCCAGCAGCACGCTGCCATCTTTCATCCTGATGCTGAGCCTGTAGCAGCTGCAGCTGCGCGTGACTCAAAAGAATTGCAGGGTAACTGGAGATGCTGCCTCTAGCCACTCTGCTGAGGGGCCCAAGTGCAGAGCAGTGAAGAAGTTTCTCCCACAGAGGCCACTGACGCAGCCCCAGGGTGCCTGATTCACACAAAGGGCATCCTGCGCTGCCCCTGCCACAGCGCTGAGGGCATGCTGTGCAGAAGCTGCCTGAAGCAAAGTGTAACCCAGTCCCTCGGATGAGGACAGAGGAACAGCTTGGTCCTGGCTGGAGACTATAGGAAACAGGCCTGGTCCCTTCCATGAGCAGATGCCAGGAAGCCATGCTCTTGTCTGAGTAAAGCTCAGGCAAAAATATCCTGGGCCTGCACATCTTGTCCCTAAATGACTGAGGAAGCAGAGGACAGCAGAGAAACAGAGGCAAGTGTACCTCACACTGCTCTTTACTAACATACCTATGAAGGTGGCCATGCCAGGACCTGACGCTGCTGGTCAGTGGGTGCCCTCTTGGTCACAAAACCGCAAGGCTACCCCCGACCTTCTGGGATGCAGCTGCTGAGGGGACATGGTGTGGGCAGATCCTGGCTTGCTGTTGAGGGTACTTCCTCTCAGTGAAATCCCTGTCTGGTCCCTGTCAAAGCAGCATGATAGCTGCTGGGTGGGAAGGCTGGAAAGCAAACCATGGCCTGCTCCCTAAGCCTCACCAATGCCACCACTGCGTGTGTCCAGGGGCATCACAGCATAACCCCCATGGCCTGACTGGTCTCCAACAGAGTCCTGGGAGGTACTTTCCAAGGCGGCAGGGAGGGAGCAGGCAGTCACAGGCTGTTTTAGAATCATCTGAGCACCGAGATCCCATGCATCAGAGCAGGTCCACATTGAACCTGGGCTGGCCCAGGCTCCAGGACCACCAGGGCAGGATGGACAACTGCACAGTGGGCAACTGTTGTTACCTGGGCCAAGAGTACAGATGCCACCAGGCTCAGCTGATGGGGGTTCTGGGTGTGATCACAGGACAGGGTCAGGGTGTTGGACGGTGACATCTCTCTCAGAATGGCAGCACAGAGGACCTGGATCTGCTCCGAGTATGTGGACAAGGACAGGGTGGCCTGGAGCAGATCCACACATGTCTTCTCCAGCCTAGAGGGTGAGACCAAGGTGGGCCGCAGGTCATGCCTGTAGCAGGGAGGTCAGCCTGGGTCCATGTGGCAGGGGGACAGAATGTTTCCCTGTGAGGACCCTGGGAACTAGTCTAAGTAAACAGAGGCTCAGATGCCATAGGTTGCTGGCACCAGCCTCTGCCCACGACTGGCCCTGCACTCACCTTCGGGTGTACTTCGTGGCTGAGATGATGAGGAAGAGTCTTTGCAGGGCATCCACGGTGGCTGGTCCCAGGTCCTCCTGCAGCAGCTTGCTGACCCGGGAGCAGAACCTCTGCAACTCCTCATCACGGATATCCCTGTGCAAGGAAAGGGTGTCAGCAGCTGGTCAGCATCCGAACAAGGATCCAGTTACATCCTGGCTTGAGGGAGATGGTCCCCACGTAGCAGAGTGTGGAAAAGCTATGGGGCCACTGTTCCTTTAGCCACAGACACCCAGAGGTCAATTCCAGGTGCACTGGAACTGAAACCCATCACTCTTAGTTACTACAATCCATGCAGACATCAACCATTCTGGTTCTGTTATTCCAGAAGCAGAAGTAAATCTCACTACTTTTAATTAAGAGTCTCACTGAAGCGGGTGTGATGGTACACCCCTGTAATTCCAGCACTCAGGAGGCTGAGGCAGGAGGATCACTGGGAGTTTGAGGCCAGACTGTGCTACAAAGTGAGTTCCAAGTCATCCTGAACTACGTCCAGCTGCTGCACTGGTAAGAAAGGGAGCCAGCTTTTTGTTTAACTGGGTTCATGATGTTGGATCTCAAATGCTAAATGAGACTGAGAAAGAAGCAACCAACTGGCTTGCAGGCTGTAATTAAAAATTCACACTGGACGTATTCTGCAGCTGGGTGTAACCCCTTCAACATGCTCTCCAGACTTTAGTCTTCTCCACTGCCAGCCTGCCCTACCCTCCCACAGCCCCAAAGCCACACCTGCCTACGCTCACAGGGCTCCCTGTGGCTTGGCCGCAACCCCTTCCTCCAGCTGTGAGGCTGTTTCTCTTGCTTCTGCCTTTTTGTTGGGTCGCTCTGTGTAAATAAACCAAGGCGGGACCTTGCTGTGCACCACACTCATTTCCTACCTTCACGTATTACTCAGCTCAGACATGTTTTCAATTCCCTTCTCCACCCTTACTTCCTATACTCTGGGAACATTTAAGAGGAAACTGAAAATTTCCTAACTCTCAAACCTAAGTTACTCCTATCAAAAGCGCCACCAGAAATTGCAGCTTGAAGTATACTATATAAACTAGTTAGAGCGCCATAGGTTACTGCCCATCCAAATCCCATCCAAGAGGACCTGTGTGTAGAACGTGGGCTGGCAAGTGTTTTGTGAGGTTTTGTCCCTTGCCAGGAGTTTGGGGGGGGGGCCTCACATTGGCACTGGAACCCACGTCTTTTTCGTTTAATGCAGGCATCAATTCGGCATGTGCACGCACCTAATAAATGCAAGTTGCACTGCACTAGGCACAAGGGGAGAATGGCAGGTCCTCCAGAACCTGAGATTCTCTGGTTACTCTGACCAGAGTTTTGTCTTGATAAAGACTTTAGCCCTTAGTCTGGCCTAGGACCTTGCTCACTCCAACTGCTGGGATCTCCACCACTCTGGTCTTTCCCACCAACCAGGCCAGCTCTCAATCCTGGATGGTTCATTTGCTTTTTTCAAGTTCATTTACCAAAGACCTTAAGGTTCCATCATATCTCGGCCTCCTTCATTGGAAGAGGAGTCCAGAGTCCACCTGGGACCACAAGGCAGTTGTTCTACGTGACATCCGTGACAGGTCCCCAACCCCCAGGACGGGGCCGAGCTCGGGGGTCAGCTCCCTGTAGCTCCTCCCGCAACGCTGATTCCGCTCAGTTGTCTCCTTCCCCCGCCGGGCCGGCAGCTGCCCCGTCCGGCCCCAGTCTCTGGTGCGGGTCTGCCGAGCCCCAGCAAGTCGCCGCGCCCGGGCCAGGGTAGGGGTGCGGGGAGCTGCCGCGCACCTGGCTTGATGGAGCAGACTCTCCGCGCCTGCTGAGAACATCTCCCTGCACGAGGACACCGAGGCCACAGCCGGGCTTGCCGACTGGCGGCTTCCGGGGCTGCATCCAGTGGTGCGCACGTGAACAGGGCGTGCCTCGGTGTGTGTGGGTGGAAGGGCCGCCGGCCAATTGGCTTTGGCGCAGAGCATCATGGGGCGGGACCGGAAGCACCTGGTCTGTGGTGTGTCCTGGCAAACTCCCGGGTGCCCTCGGAATCTTGGGATCCCGGAACCTTAGTTCCCCAGGACTCCTTGATGTCTAAACAGTTTGCGGAGGAATCTGGCGCCGAAGACATCTGGGGTCCACAGTGCCCCTGTGCGCTTGTCGTCTTCCGGTTTCTGTTTCGCGAGTTTCGGGGTCCCGTGTGCAGAATGGCCTGGAAACTCACAGGTTGCGACATGCAGCTGGGGCCAGAATCCTGCCATTTTCCGAGGCAGCTAAGGCAATTAGTATGTATTTTTAAATTATTATTTTGGGGATGGAGCTGAGATTTAAAGCTAAGGCCTGACTGAGGTACATCCCCAAGCCTCACCTTCCGTTTTTAAAATTTTGAGACAGGGTCTAAGTCACTAAGTTGCCCAGGCTGGGCAGGAACTTGGGATCTTCCTGCCTCACCCTCCCAGAGAGCTGAGATCACATGAGTGCGCCACTGCTTCTGGCTAGCTGTGTTTGTTTTAAAGTTTACTTTATTTAGCGTATATCATGGGCCATATGGACTACTTTAAAAATCTGACTCAGTCCCCACCATAATGATAGGACGTCACTGCATTTATCAGAGGAGGCACCAAGCTTGGAGGGGATACCAGTTTCTATTCTGCATGTGTAGGATATCTGGGTTGTGCTGAGCCATGGCGGTAGAATTCCACCTCCTGAGTGTGTGCCGCACTGGACAGCCACAACCCACATGACAAACACTATGCCGCCCAGGCACAAGGGGAAGAGGGCAGCATGACCACCTGACTCCTATGGCCAGAAGGCGGAGCATGGCAGGGGAGGGAGAAGGGTGCTGAGCAGGAGAGGACGAAGTGGGCAGATTCCATTACTACTCGGGGGTGGGATACGTAGGCCTTGGTAATCAGTGAATTTGGGGACCAGAGGAGAAATGAGAAAATCAAGCAGGTTTCTGTTGGGCACAGAGTGGTCCAAACTCAATTGATATTGGAGCAGAAAAAGAAGTTTGTGGAGGTTTGAGGGAGGGATACACCAGGGAAGGGTAGGGGAAGTAAAAACAATCAAGCCGGGCCGGCGAGGAAGCTCAGTGGACCACATGCCTGCTTAGACAAACGCAGGAACCACGGTTCCATCCGTGGCACCACATGCCGCGCTAGCCCCGCCTCCGGGCGACTGAGTCCAGGCGTGGTGGTGCTTGCCTGTAATCCTAGCGCTGGGGAGGTTCAAAACAGGAGGATCACTATAAGTCCGGGCTGCGTAGTGAAACCCTGCACCAAATACATTAAAAAAAGAAAAAGATTAAGTTGTGACATGCATATGGACCAGTTTTGCAAGATGAGTGTAATTATTATGTATCGAAAATGTATTTCCATTTTTAAAAGAAAGTATGCAGACTCATTCAGCGAGCAACTGTGAGCCCTGGCTGGGCCAGAAAGCCTAGGGTTCTGGCAGCAGAGTAGTGTAAGTAGTGGGGTGGAATGCCCTTCACCTAGGGAGGTCAGGAAGGGGTAAACATGGAGAAGACCAGGGTGGGAGATGAGAGAGGGGCTGAGTGCTAGGCAATACCTGGGCAGATTCAGACATACTTTTGAGATGCCCTAGTGGTATTCCTGCAGCTCCCTGAGGCTCAGCCACTGGTGTTGAGGATGCAGGCAGGAGCCAGCTGCCCAGCAAGGCCAAGTGAATTGTGGAAGGGAGGGACAGATGAATGGTGGAGAGGATAATCTTGGCAACCTGTGGGCAGCCTCCTGTTTAGGATTAAGGTAAGACTTGTGTGGTGCAATGTTCAGATCTTAAATGAGCTCAGCAAGTTTTTACAGCTCCATCAAGCAGTAGCAAACTGGTAAGCATTTTAACTGGCTCTGTTCACGAGGGACTGATTTGCAATCATAACATGCAATGGCTGATTCCATCTAGACCATTTCCAACACCCTGGAGGCACCCAGTGTCCCTGCCGACCATCCCCACTCCCCCAGAGGTAGCCATGATCCTGTCTGCACTCCATGCAGGACTTTGCCTGTCATGTTCTTTTAGGAGTATCTGGTTTGTTTCCAGATTCTGGAATAACAAACCATGCTACAACACACAGTCCTGTGTCTTTGTTTCCCTGCTCCATACCCAGCCTCCCAATGCAGCTCATTGTTGAGTACTGTGTGCTAGTGATTGCTCAATCTCTCGCGTCTCTCCAAGCATGATTACCATTATCTGACCTATTTCTTACAAAAAGTCTTACTCAAAACCAGAATCTAAAGAAAGGTAAAGATAAAAATGATACCAAACAACCATTCCTTAGAGGAAATAAGTATTGGTGGCTTTTTTTTTTTTTTTTTTCTTGTACCAGGGATCAAATTTAGGAACTCACATTTTCCAGGCAGGCACTTACGCTGTTGAGCTATCTCACCAGCCTTTTTTTAAAAAATAAATATTCCCACTCACACTTGTCATTTGGCTGGAATCCTAAGCTGGAATGAATCTGTTAATATCACATTGGTGCTTGGGGTCAGAATCTTACATCAGAAATGGAGCCATCTATAGCAGGACCAGTCAGTGTACAAAGTCCAGCCCTTGCTGTGGGCAGCAGTGAAGTCTGAAAAGCGTGATCTGTTAGCTGAGTGAGGTAACTGGTTATGTGCACAAACATCACAGAACCTTGACAGAAGACAGAGGTCTGGAAAATACGTTTTCTTAAAGTCCCAGTTAGAGGCAACCTGCAGCAGAAACACCCAGTGTCTCGTACCCCATCTGGAGCCCCTCAGGAGGGGAAGGAGCTGGCTTCACTGGAGGTGATGCGCAGAGGACTTGCCCAGGACCTGATGGCAGTTTGGAGTCCCGTGGCTGCGATGGGGCATGTGAGTCAGTGCCCAGCCATGTCACCCTGCTGACCACCAACCACAATGAGCAAGGCCCTGGTGGGAACACAAAGGCAGGCACGAGTGGTTTCCTGGCTAAGTGATGGAGGGACCCTCATTTGCTCAAGGTCCCTGTGGGCACTGTATTCCGCTTGAGTCAGCACCATGGCAGGGGATGGCACAGCTGGCTCTTCTCTGGCCATGTCTGAGGGGTAGGTGTGAGCTGTCTTCAGACCCTCATGCCCAGAGGACTCTGGGGCTTCAGAAGTCCTCAGCAGTCATGGGCACCTATGGAAGGCATATCTGTCCAGACATCTGCTTCTTCCCAAGAGCCCAGTGCTGAGGACAAATAGAAGTACAGCCCCCCAGGAGTTATCCTTCAGCCTCTAGAGCACCTTGGGGGTACGGCTCCCTCAATGCAGGGAGAAAAGGGGCTGTGTCCAGGCCATCTATCCATTCATCTGTCCCTCGCCTGGCACCCACTTGCAAGGACCACTTGGCACCTGGTGTCATTTCTTTAATATATAATTTTATTTCTGGTTATAGAAACAAATGCTAAGAGGAGAAACAAAACTTCCCCATCCACATACAACAATTTAATAGATAAAAGAACAGTTAAATGGAAAAAAAAAAAACAAGTAGAAATTTTAAATTTTGTTATAGTTTTAAAACATTAACGTCTGATACAATTAGAAATCACATTCAGATCTCAAACTTTTTAAAAAAAAGTATGGCTCCATAATAAAAAAATACTGTATCCCATTTGAAATGAAAACCCAGGCAAGCTGCTTTAGACGTGGGTGCACTGGCTCTCCTGACTCCAGCGCTTCTGCCCACAGGACCTTTCCCCATGGGTGTGGGACAAATCCCCAGCTTGAATTGGAGATCCCACTTTAGAGGATACCACTGCTTTTTAAAGCACTGATTATTAAACGTATTGTGAAAATACTTTAGACAGCCACTGTAAAATAAAAACACACACACACACATACACACTCCCCGAACAACACCCACCCCCCCATTCAATTATTTTTACAGGAGAATTATCATTCAGGTAAAAAAAACCAAAAAAACAAAACAAAAAAAAAAAAAAAACAATCTCAGAGTTGGCTCTGACCCTTCCCTTCCATGCTGAGTCTAAGGGAAGACCCAGACAGCCGCCTCTCCCCTCCCTGCCACTTTTCCTGCAGTAGGAACCAAACCAGATAAGTTAAGCTATATTAGGAATCCAAAATGCCTCCCGTTGAGTTAGCAAGGAAGAGAGAAGGACCAAACTTTAAATGTTTGATTTTTTAAACCCCATTTTTACTGACTATAAAAAAAATCTGGACCAGCTAACCCAGAAATTCAGAGGCTACAGGCAGTTTGAATCCACAGCCAGAGGAGGTAACAAAGGCAAAGAATCTACCTTCAAGCCGCAGGGGCTCCTCCCAGCTCAGCCAGCCTGGCCAGGAACCAGGGGATAGTGCTAGACTCGGGGTAAGTGCTGTTACTGTAGGAAGAAAACCCAGAGGATGGGGCGTGTCCAGCCCCACTCACTCGGGCCCAGCTCCCTACACAGATCAGAAACAGATCCCCAAATAAAGAACAAAAAGCAGGACTCTTCTGATCTCCTTTTACTCTTAAGGTGTGAGGATGAGAGGGTCCCTTGGCGCCCCCTCCAGTTGTCCTTGGCGGCCTCTGGACGACCACAACCCAAAGGTCATGACCTGAGGATGCTGCTTGCTCTCCGGGCCTTGGGGTCCCATGCGCCAGTGTCCACAACTGTTTGACCCAAGGACAGAGGTCACCTGCCACTTGTCTGGGGCTGGGCTTTTCTTCCCATTTTCGTGGTTGACAGAAAAAGCAGGTGCAAAGAAAGAGTAAGGGCTTTTAAGTGGAGGTTCTCCCTAGGAAAAGGACCATGGCCCTCTTAACTGTACTACAATACTGAGCAGCCCAACCAACAGCCTACGTAAAAGAAGCTAACAAATCCCCAAGGCACACCCAGTGAAAGAAGAAATCTTCATTTCAGTCTGGCACAAGAATACACTGGGAAGTTCCAGCAGGGTGGTGGGTTGGGCTTTGGGGTTGAACTCAGACTTTGGGTCACGATGTGACCAGCAGAAACCTCCAGCAATGACCTCCTGCTCCTACCTCTTTCTGTCCTTTGGGTGCTTTGCCCTGAAGACATTCCCATCACCTCCTGGAGAATGCCACCCACTTTACACGCCCAGGAAGCACCTCCGTGGGGCAGCTACCCCCCTCCCATGTAGTTTCAGATATTCCCTCCAGCAGCAGAGCTGGGGCCTGGAGATTGGAGCCCAGTCCCTCTAGAGAAGAGCAGCTGGACAGAGTACCTAGAGCTGCTGGAATGGCAATGAGCTGCTCAAGCAACTTTTGTTGATGAACCTAAGTGTAAAACATCTTTCCTACATGAAGTCAGTGGAATAGACCACTGTTTATTTCAGATCAGGGAAAACATCCAGTCATCTAACACAATCCTTCTCTGCCAAGCAGTGGTGACTTCCGGGAGGACAGAGGAGATAGCAGGTCCCAAATGGATGAACCTTTCTCTATCCCACACTCAAGACAATCTGGATCTCTGGCTGCAGCAGGAAAGGAGTGCTTGCCAGACACCAGGCACCAGCGGGGCAGCTTTTGGTACTGAGAGAAGATGCCAGGGGCAGATGTCCTGCCCTAGACCTGAGCAAGAGGAGCAAGCACAACGATGACCAGGGGTGTCCTGTGTACTCAGAAAACCCCAGTGGGAAAAACAAGGCCCAGAGAAAGGAACTTAGGAAGTACAAAGAGCTGCAAAGGACAGGAGCGGACTGTGATGAGTGAAGCCAGAAACTGGCAGGGGACCAGTTCTAGTCTATACTCTGCCCTCACCTCAGAGAACCAAAGCATGTGAAGGGGCCCTCCAGAGCTACGGCCTAAGATTCTGTCTTCATAGCAGCAACGTGAACAACCCATATTGTTCTTATTAAATAATATTGCTTCGAGGCAGAGGTATTCTAGAGGAGGCCAGAGACCAGGCTGCGGTGAATGCATTCCCATCTGAAGCCGGCAGTCCATGGTGGGGCCACTCCTGGGCTCTAAAGGCTCTTTTTACTAGAGTAGTCTTAGAGCCACTTTGTGTACTCAGTCTGGAGCAAGCACTGCGCCATGGCATGGAATCACTGTCCGGGGTGCCGGTGTGCAGGACAGCCAAGGGCGCCCATCCGGAGATGGCCGCATCCCTCAGACCACAAGAAGCCACTTGAGGGCAAAGTGGAATTTGAGGCTTTTAAAGAAAAGCAGTGTCCCCTCCCACTATTTGTTTCTATTCTCTAAAAGCTATGGGAAAATTTTTTTTTTTTTTTTTCTAACATTGACTCACATTCATCTAAGTTCTTGTGTTGCAAGTGAGGTCTGGTCTTCTGTCTGTAGAAAGGAGCACACGGCTCCTAAGCCTGAGGGCAGCTTTCTCTTCCTCCTGAATTAAATCTCCCTAAGTAGAGGTTTCGGTCTACCAGGAACCCTCCCCACTCACACAAGGTCCCTGGAGAGCGCTCTCTGTATCAGCGGTAAGACAAGTGCCAACCGAGTGACACCTGTGAGTTCATAGCAGGCTGTCACCAGGCCTGGTGAGGGCAAAGAAGAGCTATGGGCAGGGGCCAAGGCCTTGCCTCAGCTTCATACCCCTGGGGACCAGGTGAGGTGGGGGACAGGCAGGAAAACATCGATCCCAGCCTGGGTAAAGCCCATCTGCTCCCTCCCCATGTGAAAGGGAGCAGGACCTGGGATCACCCAACACCTCCCTAGCAATGTAGCAGTTCATTTCCACTAACAAAAAGGACAGACAACTAACGCGTAGGGGCAAAGCAGGCCTCGGGAGGGAGGCTGAGGACTGCTCCATACTGCCTCTCCCAGTGGCCCCAGACTCTGGGCTCCAGCCTTCCCCAGGGAGGATTCAGCGACAAAAGTCTGTGAGACTGGGCAGCACGGTCCTGACCACAGGAGAGGTGTGATCTGCGTGACTTCTGAGGATTTGGAAAGAAGCATGAAGGCAAGGTTAGAGACTTCCTCCAGGGCAGCCAGGCCGGGCTTCATCCAGGAAGCCAGGTGCAGAGCACAGTGCTGCAGCATGCTCCATGCTCTCCGGGCCCGGTGCCCTGGGCCTCCCTGTGTTCCCCCGCTGCAGCCGGTGCCACAGTGGCCAGGAGTCCTTCTCATGTCCAGCACTACAAAGCTGGTCTTGGTGGGATGCACCCAACTGTTTAAAACCAGTGACTTCTGTCACTGACCCCATTCTTACATCTGTAAGTGTGGCAATGGCTGGGCAGAAAGCACTGGATGCGAGTGGACACCAGTCTCCATCTACAGCCCATCAGATGAGCTGAGGTGATGGTGGTGCCCCTCTTGGTTTCCTCTCCACCTCAGGCCGTGCAGTGCCAGGGACCCTGGGTGACCCAGCAGGTCCTCAGGATCCACAGCTGCAGTAATGCTCACCCTTTGTCAGAACCATGGCTGGTCAGCTCTCCCTCAGCCATGAAGAAGGCTGCTTGGGACCTTGTCCTGTGGAGGGTCACGGGCATCCCGAGCCCAGCATCAGCTCTCTTGGCACACAACTGGGCTCTGACCCTGTGGATGCACTCAAGAAAGGCCCCGTGGGGAGGCTCGGCACACACCAGGGGCCTCTGGTCAGGATTTATGGCTTTTGGTTAGTGAGTTCCAAGCCAGGTGTGCTGCCTGGTGGGCAACCAGAGACCCTCACTCATCCTGCACCCCCAGACCAGTCCCTCTGGCAGAGGCCTCTGCACCAAACCATCCGCACTGATCCCAAAGATCCCTCCCCCATCCCTCTTTGCAGTTGGGCATGTCTCTGTCCTCCCCACCCCTTCCCCTGGCACCATATCAAAGTCACCAACAGAGGACAGAATGTCCCTGATGCCAGGAGAGCAAACAAGTTGGAGACAGACTGATAAGATCCTGCAGTTTGGGCACAAATGAGGCCCAAGAAAGGGAAAGACACAAGAGGTCCTAATGCCCCTTGTCACACAGTTCCTCAGACCCCCTCACCCTAACCCTCCTCCCCTGACCCACACAGGCACCAGGCACATAGGAGACCGCATTTATAGGAAGAGAGCAGCGCAGCAGAAACCGTTGGTGTGAAGGAAGCCACATCTCTGTGGCACCATCTGGCAAGGGCACAGTCAACTGGTCAACTGCTGTTACCGGCACCTGATTTGCTGAAACTCCACCATGGCCACACAGATACGAACTTCAGAACAGAGCTTATTTCCCATTGAAGTTTTTAGTGCCATAGCAAGGGGAGGGCTTTAAAAAGCAACAGGAGAGGGATTTTTTTCCCAGTGGGGCAGGCCAAGTGCTAGCGGATACTGCATGGGGCTGGCACATTGCCTACCAGCCCTGTCCCAGCCTGGCTGTGGCCTGCCTTCCAGTGCTACCTTGGAGTCACCATCAAAGCTGCACCCTCCATTAAGGTGTTGCGTGCCCTGCCGGCTGCTGGCTCTCCTGGCTCCTGTGGACAGGCTACTACTCCGTCCTGTACTGCTCAGGACCTGATCTGTGGGGGCTTTCCTGTCAGGCCCAAGGCAGGGGAGCTGTCTGCTGGTGAGGCTGTGATGGTGAGGCAGGCTGTGCCTCCAGGAGCTGTGCCCACCATGCTTTTGCTCCTGAGATGATCCACCTCCAAAGCCACAAAAGAGGGACTGGCTTCCTGGAGGCTGACTTCTATGAAGATGTAGTGATGTTTCCTGAAAGCATCATCCAAGAGGAGCCAGGGCAAGAGGCTCCCACTTTACTCCTTCTATGACAGAGCTCAAGGCTGGCTGTTGGTCAGGACAAGCAGAGGGGCTTCCATAAGGGACCTGGGATCAACTGATCCTGTCCTTTGGTTCTCACCATGTTGCAGTCACGCCAGTGACGTTGGCACAGGGCTTCCTGCTGCTGCCTGAGGAGCGTTTCCTGCCTGCTAACTGACCCAAGGCCCCAAGCATGAGGCAGAAGAAACAGTTCCAATTTCAAACAGTGGGTCGATTTGGGGTGGTCGAGAAACTGGAATGTGGCTGGAAAGAATGTGAGCAGATTGTGTCCCATTGGCCATGAGCATCAGGACATCAGAGGTGCCACAAACTTGGAGCTCACCTCTCCTGTGTCTTCCAGTGACAGGCACATGAAAGTCCTCACTGCCAAGTAGGTGACTGGCTCCTTCCCCAAGCACCATCTGCCTGTGTGTCTTGGGCCTGTGATGTGGCACATGGGTCGTGCTTCGGCTGGAGAAATCTCCACCAATCTCTACCTGGGGCTTCCGTCTTGATGCTAACTAGGAGCCGCTGATCCTTCTTGAAGTTATCAGATGGGGCGGCCGGCTCACTCTCCTAGGGGGGGCTGATGGCTGGGTGACCACAGCTACTCAACTGTCAATGGATGAAAGCTTTGAAGACACAGGGCCCCATGGGCTTTTGGCTCCAATCTGGAATAAGCCTGTATGCCATGTTTTAACACAGCAAGAAACACTTGGGTTCCAAAGCCAAACCAGACAACTCCCCTCCCCATCCCATTTAATGCTGATGTTTTCTATGCCATTTTGGGGAGAAGGCACCAAAACCAGTCTCCAGTTTGACAGTTCCTGCCTTTCTCTGGCCTATTCCTGGTTTAGAGTAGGAACTGGTTCCTGTTCTGTCTCCCAGAGAGGCCTTGGGCTATGCACAGCTGCACTTCTGTTGGCACTGTCTCGGCAGAGCTCTGAGGCCAGGACGTGGGATGCGGTCCTCCTTGTCACAGGGGGCATCTTGCTGGGTTCCTGAGGTGCTGGGGCTTGATCTTCTCCCCACACCCTTGACCAAAGGGCCAGGGAGGGACAATGGTACAAAAGGAGAAAGAAAGACACGCAGAATCCCCAGAAGCATACAATCAGTTGTCTGAACTTATTTATGTGTTTTTGTTTCCAACTTCGGGAGGACAGGAGATAATTGGGCAGGACGAGTTTTCTGGTGTGGCAGCCAAGGGGCAGGTAGCTGCCAGGCTTCCCTCACATCTGTCCGGGCGCAGCTGTCTGCTCCACTCGGGCTCCTGTGGTGAGTCCCACTCCACCCTTGTGCGTGCATGCAGGTGACTTCATTCCCCGGTGCCTGGGCCCTGGGGGCCGGCAGCTGCCATCACTCCGGCCTGCGTGGTCACTGTCCCACCAGGCTCCTCTACCCGGGACCTTTTGACCTCCGGCTCCCCGCTGGAAGAGGCTGAAGTGGCAGTAGAGGTGACTGCAGTTGGGGTGGCACTGGTGGCTACTGTGGCCACTGCTGCTGGTTCCTCGGGCCCCACCTCACATACCCGGGTGACCACCACTGGTGTGGACGAACTCGCCTGGGCTGCAAGGAGCTGCAGGGGGCTGGTGAGAGCTAGGGTAAAGAAACAGCAGGTTACTTAGGATCTGGGCTCAGTCAAATAAACAGGAAGTTGAGCGTGCCAGTCCTGGGGTGCTCTGTTCCAACACCCATCAGCCAGCATAAAGGAGGGCACCATCCCTGAGCTCTAGTACCCAAAGGTGGCCTGCCCTGAACCAGCCCAGCCCACTTTGTACCCACACCCTCCTTCCTCTGGTCTCCTGTCCCACCTAGTAAGGTGTGAACCTGACAAAGCGCCTAACACACAGTGGGCGCTCAATAAATGGGCTGAGGCAAACTGGGAGAGGTTCAGCAAACTTTCTGATGCTGAGCTGTCCTCGCATCTGGGCCTGGGGCCTCACCGTAAGCACTGGTGGCTAAACTGTTTGTGGGAACCGCATGCTTTCCGTTCTGAGTGACGGCCCGGACGGGGAGATGGTGCTGCCCGATGGTTACTGGTGTGGCTGGCTGCAGGATGGTGACAGTGTGTCCAGGAACCCCAGGGGCCATCTGGCTGGCCACGGTCTGGATGACTCGGCTGGCTGCAGGGATCGTGGCAAAGGCAATGGTTGGCTTCTCTTCCAATCCTGTGGGGCACGGGGCAAATCAGAGCCACGCGCTGGGGGCGGTGCTCAGCTGTAGAGCACTCTCTGGTGCACTGGATGCCCTGGGCTCCAGCCCCGGCACCACAGAAACAAAGAAAACACACTGGGCCACTGAGGTCAGGGATGTGCACCAATGAAAAGGGCTCACTGATATGTGTATGTGTGTGCACATGTCTGTGTGCTACATGGCACTGGGAAAACTGCCTCTCAAATGAAAATCACATGGACAAAATATACTTCCAAAGAAAAACAAAGTCTTAGAAAAATATGATTTAACCTTTGACCAAACCAAATTTAATCTGAAAAAGAAAAAGTATAATTTGGAATGAAATCATTCGCTTTTGGCGCAGTAACTCAGTCTTACAGTTTTCATTGACAACGTCAAAATAAAAAGTTGCTGTAAGATTGAGCCAGTAGTGGTAAGAGTGGCCCTGGATGCTGCCCAGGATAGAAGAGCTCCCAAGAGGATTCCTGACAGGCCCAGTGCTCTGGCCATATGTATACAGGGACGTCCTGGGATCCTGCCTTCCAGGGGGGATTCCCAGCTACTTTTCACTCCCAGTGACCTCTACAGACTCTAGTTCTAGAGGGATCGTCCTTCAGGCTTAATCTCCCTCCCTCAGGAGACATTACATTCCAACTGTATGTAGGACCCCACAGCATAATCCAGTGCCACCCTGAGAGGAAACAGAATTTGGCATAAGAGTCACAGCCACTTGAAGAATCAGTGAGGAGGCTACCTGGGTTTCTTGGACCTATGATGGACAGTCCCTGCTTAAAAAGGACATGCTTAGCCAGGTATGTTTGCCCAAGCCTGTAAATCCAGCACTCTGGGAAGCTGAAGTAGGAGGATCACAAGTTTAAGCCCAGACTAATCAACATAGTAAGACCCTATTTCCAAATGACAATAAGACAAGGGCTGCAGATATAGCTCAGTGCTAAGACCCTGGGTTCGAGACCCAGCACTGGAAAAAGAAAGTACATACTTGCAGGAGACAATGGCAGAGACCTGGCCTCTTTGGACCTCCACCTGCTGGCCCAGGTGATGGCGCATGGCAGTGATTATGTGGCAGGTGTTGGCAGGGTGGCTATATTACTCACCTCTGGCTTCACTGCCCAAGTCTAGCACAGCTGTGCCCGCAGTGTCATGCGAGCTCCCTGCTGAGCCCTGACTAGCGAGGATGTAGCCATTGGCTGAATTGGCGGAGGTGGTGACCACTCTGACCATGGTGACGGTGGGGGCCTGCTGCACAACGTGGATGGCATGGCCTGAGGGCTGCTGTGAGGTCACGATGGAGGCTGGCATATAGGCGACAGGCTTGGCCACTAGGTTGGATGGTCGGGGAGGCACAGCCATGATCACTGGCTGCGCGCTGACGGGGGATCCTGCACGGGGAAGATAGGACAGCAATGGGATGGCCGTGCCCTGCGGGCACCATCCTGCATTCCACCACAGCCAGGGAAAGGACAGAACCGTGCCTCACCAGGTGCGCTTTGGGAATACCGGTACTCCGGGACGGAGGCTAACTTTGAGCCTAGCTCAGGGTCATGTGGAATGGGGGAGCCCTCCCGAGACAGGCACTCTGGAGTCTGCAGGCCACTGGAGCGAGGGGACATCAGCCCAGGGTGAGTGGGTGAGGCCGGAGCACTCCTGAGAAAGGACAGAGAAAGAGAGAGCTGCCAAGGTAAGTCAACTTGCCACTGCTTGGCAATGACTCCAACTGTCACCCCCCCCCCCAAGCCTACCCGGAATGTACCCTCCCCATGCCTCCTGAGGCTCTTCTCTGCCCCACTGAAATTTGTCCAGCTCTAAAGTTCTGGGTAGTGACGACTGCTACCTGGTGACACAGACCCAGCACTGTTAACTCCACACAGTGGGGTTGGGCCTCCATTAAATGGGGAGCACACATCACTGGTGGCTCCACTGCATATGCCACAGTCAGTGCATGTACCTCCCGCGACACACAGGCTATCTTCTATAAGAGTGGCTCAGCCATGGCAAAAGATCAGCTTCTGACGGGCACTGGGAAGACCAGTTCATCTGACAACCACCACACAGCCCAGATTGGAAGTGGTGTTCAAAACTTTGGGCTGTCTTTCACAGGGCAGGTTTGAAACCACGCTGAACAGAAAGCATCCCTGATCTCCTACAGGGAGAATCCTGAAGAATTCCTGAGGGTGCTCCCTGCCCCTTCCCTTTCCCCTTGGCTAGGCCTGGGGCTGCTTCCCAAAAGCCACCCACCTGTGTGTGAACAGGAGAGGCCTGGACCTGCCAGGCAGGGGGAGGCAGCTGGGTGCTCCCATGAGGGGTGATACACCAGCCCCCACTCTGCCTACCAGTGGGCAGGCCGTGTCCCCAGCACCATGCTGCCAGATTACAGCACAAGTGGTCAGGCAGAGCAGAGCCTCTCTTCCTCAGCCCTGAAAAGGCCGCGCACTGGGTCAGGATGGGGAGCACAGGGCTGTCTACTGGGTCCCTCACATGGGGAAGCAGGCAGTGAGCTGAGTGCCCTCACCAGCTGCTGCACACTCAGGGTGCTGAGATGGGCTATTGGGAATGCAGCCGAGGGCCATAGCTCCATGCCATGTCCCTGCATGGGCCAGCAGAGAGGGGGACTTACCGTGAGGACAGAGGCCCAAAAGGGGTGCGGAAGCAGGAGACACCTCTCTGTCTTCGTTTTCGGAAGGCCTGTTCCACTAGTTTGGCTTCGGAGGCGGGGTCTATCCGCCAAAAAGATCCTTTGCCAGGTTCCTCCTGGGACCGCGGGACTTTGATGAAGTAACGGTTTAGAGAGAGGTTGTGTCGGATGGAGTTCTGTGGGAGGCAGAGACAGCCTTGGTCACCAGCATAGTGAAGAACAGGTCCCTTGTCCTGAGGCCAAGCACAGCACTGCAGGACTGGAAGTGATGGAACAACAGGCCCACCCTGGCTGTGGGCCGCTCAGGTGGTTTTTCCTATCCAAGTCCCACACAGGTAAAGCCCATCACCACTCCTTACAGAGAAAACAAAAACAGATAATCATGCACAGGAACACGACAGCCGCAGGGTCCTGCAGAGCTCAAAACTCATCTGGGATAAGCCAGCCAGAGGGAAAACACTAAATAGCAGTGGACATCAGTCTAAGACAGATGTCTTGAGGTCCTACACAAATAAAATACACACGGCTAGCCAGGAGTGGTGGTGCATGCCTGTAATCCAGCAGTCTTGGAAGCTGAGGCAGGAGGACTGCAAGCTGAAGCCCCAGATCAGGCAATTTAGCAACTTAGTGAGACCTTATCTCAAAATAATAAAGAAAAAAGGGGATGTAGCTCAAGGTGGAATCCCTGGGTTCAATCTCTAGTACCACAAAAAAACCAAAATACGGGGCTGGGGAGATAGCTCAGTAGAATAAGCGCTTGCCTGGCAAGTGCAAGGTTCTGAGTTCAATCCCCAGTACTGCCAAAAAAAAAAAAAAAAA